CGACCCCTGACAGTAACAAACGTAAAAAATGACAGTCATTAAAGCACCCTTTTGCACGCCTTTATGCTCACTGGGCTAGCCCTAAATTTTATAGACCAACTGGCACATGGTTGGTGAAGGGGTCATCACGCTGGTCGCCTTCACTTCTCAGGACTGCACCTGGTAGCCACCCAAAGCTAGGCCGACCTTACTTCCCAGGACTGCACCTGGTAGCCACCCAAAGCTAGGACGACATAGGAGCCATAGTCATTTATTTTTTTAATTCTTTCTCTGTCAGGACACGAACCAACGATATTTGAAAATCAGTCGAGCGTTTAGCCTCTACACCATGGCGATCACCATTTATTACTTATTTTTTGTAGTTGTTGTTGTTGCTCTTACCCCAATCAAAGGGGATCGCGGGGTTCCTGGGACAGTACAACTGTGTGAATATACAATAGAACAGCAAAGCTGATTGACAATGGATCAGGAATCTAGTGCAGTATCAGTGCTAGCTTTCTATAGTGTGAGAATTGAGACACTAATATCTACAGAATATGTTGTTTTACTGTAGAACAGTGATAACAGTGTGGTTACTTTTCCTATGTAGAGTAGGTATGTCAAAAAGGGGAATGGTGTCACCAGTCTAGTGCCATGACGGGACGCGGTCCATCGAAACAAACTTGGACTGTCGCACAAAGGAAGCACCGGCTAAGGTTGCCGTGCTCACACACCGGGTTTGTGGAGTGTTTCTAAAACCCGGTAAAGCTGGAGGCAGCCAGAGTTCCCATTTGTCGGTGGTGATTGTAAAGCACCACCAGGAAGGTTTTGCTGGGTATTTTCACTCGGGAGATCCCTCAGGTCGCCATTGTTCTCCATTTCTATGAGAGTTACAAACTCGCCATTGTACACACCCTTTACTTCGCGTCTATCCCTTGTGTCTAGGAAGACCTAGACTTCGCCGACGACATAGCACTCCTGAGTTCAGAACACACAGACGCCCTAGAAAAAATCAATCGACTCCAGAATTTCTCAGAACAAATTGGACTCCAAATTAACACCGCAAAAACAACAATTTTAGACCTTACCAACAGTTTAGCTGATATCACGCTGAACAACAACAGCCTTGAAAAAGTCAACAGTTTCACTTATCTAGGGAGCAAGATGTCATCTACAGGAGATACCGCACCAGAAATACCATTTAGAATAGCACTGGCATCTAGTGCCTTCAATAAACTGTCCAACATCTGGAAATCAAAGACACTTAGCAAACACACACAAATCACTAGGATTACATTTGTGTGAGATTTGAAACAAAGAAAAAAAAATTGTGTTTTGTTCTCTCCGCTAACACAAATTCCAAGGGACAGAAGTCCAGTTTTAGTTTTTAAGTTCACGTTAACAGAGTGTTCTTCTTAAACGAGTACCTGTTTACAACTTTTTTTTTAACTTAATTTCCGCCCCCGCCCCCCCCCCCCCCCCCCTTTCCCACCTCTCCCCCGTAGACAAAGCGATTGAAACAGGAATCTGACAAGCCAACAATGTCACACATCAACTAACCCCAGTTTTGAAACACCCAACTATCCCACTATAAACACACACACACACAAATTATAAATGCAGCCTTCATACCAACATTGTGCACTCAGTGTCAGACATAGACACCGAGTGAGGAACACAAGAGGGAACTGACCGACTGTGATGTCTAAGAAAGACTGTGAAACAAAATAGAAGAGATCATGTGAGAAATGAAGGAAATTTTTAATGGTTTGGTCATTTACTGAGAATAAATCCAATGATGCTAGCAACGAGTGTACAATAGAAAAGTAGAAACACCTGGATCTAAGGGACGACCAAGAAAATATGGATTGAAGTAGACACTGCTATCTTGAGACATCACAGCATATCGGGAAACCGAGCGTGCCCTAGCTCGGAAACTGTTCCTCTGTTTACTTGCAATACGTTGCAGCACAAAACAGGAAAGGGATACAAGATTTCATAAAATGGGAAAAAGGGGGGGGGGGAGAGAGAAACCAAATGCTGTACCTACCTCTATCATTTAAATACATTCCTCTCTCAGCCTTGGACTATTTCAAAATCACTAAAGATATGGGTTTTTTTTTTTTTTTTCTCTTTAATGTTACACACAAAATTGTAAGACTCTCATGAAGAAGAGAAATATATATTAAATCCCGGCCAGGTACAGCAGTCCCTGTCTGTAGTTGCTTAACCTGTGTATAAAGGTGAAGATGAGAGGATCGACTTCATTGCATGGGTTTGATCCTATGTAGCTCAGTCTCTCCCCACATAACAGCTAGCTACCTGCCGAGAGTGTCGCACAGAGCACTAACTCTGTAGCTCCGGCGATGATCCTCGGGGATCTCTGTAAAAATTGCACTCGGGAACTAAACGCCGGCGCTGTGCAACGAACCCAGACCTGCAGAGCGAGGCCAGCGATTTGGTCAAGGAGCGCACATGAACTCGTGTCTGAGTTCTGACATTGCATTTGTTCATTTCAAAAACATTTTTATAGTCCTGTGTCTTTCACAAAAAATACATAGAATGTTTATCACATTCCTGTGGAAAGATTGACAGACTGCAGTCTGATTCCGTTTTTTTTCGCAAAACAAAAACAAACAACAAATTGTTGCCTACGCACACGTTGCTACTATATTTCACTGATAAACGGTTTTGCAGTTTGACCATGTGGTAGCACTAGGACTCTTGCATCTCCACGGACAGATCTCGGTCCCTTGCACACTGGATAGCCAAGGAGCGAGAGATATAACTCGTTTAACCGTGGCAGTCCATACGAGTCATCATAGTTATGACGTACTCAGTCCTGCAGCGATAAACATTCAACACACCTATAATTAATTATTTTTTTTCATTTATTTTTTTATTCAGCGTGTTTATATATCTCCATCATTATTTTCAAACGCATTCTTCTCTATTTAGCTTCGTAAAATGACCCTGCAGTTCCGTATTTGTTTTTCTGTATTTATCATATCCTGTGTGATGTAAATTTATGTTGACCTTACTTCTTTGTAAACTTTGTTGTGTTGTCTGTTACATTTTCCCAGTCATAGTTTGTGTTGTATTTAGTATTACTTAGTATTTACTTAGTAAAGAATTATGTCGAAACGTTCGGCTGTAATTAGAAACTGTAACTGAGGACAAACTAACCCGCAAAATCAAATACAAAACAATACTACAGTTGATTAAGATCGTCATGCATGGAAATGGGCAGCTGAACAAGAAAAGGATAACTTGGTAAGGCCAGAGCGTCTTCGTCAGTACACGGAAGGTAACTATAGTACAACTAAATCATAATTCAAAAAGCATCATCTAGCCTTCATAATATTAGCCCTAGAGACATCTAACTCTGGGGCATGCAGATACAATTGTGAAACGATCAGTACTTGTAAGGTGGGAGCAGCATGTGTTGTGGTTATGTCTACTGACCGATAGCCTTGACAGCCTTGACCACGCTGCTTTCGCAATGTTGATTACTCACTGTCTCGTCCCGTTTCGTCACGCCATTTTGTGTGTGGTTATTTTAAAGCCCCACCCAGGCTTAGTCAGGGGGTCCTATTATAGCCTAAATGTTGAACAGGGTTTCTGGGACCTCTCCCAGGGTGATTCTCATAAGCATGGTGGCATTTTGTGTCGCGGGGTGTTTATCGCTTGGTGGATGTCCTGGTGGAGTTGAATCTCATTCACTTCGCAATGTTGTGATCGTGGCTGCCCACTCTACGGAAAGACAGAATGTTGTGATCGTGGCAGCCCACTCTACGGAAAGACAGAATGTGCAACGATCGTGGCAGCCCACTCTACGGTAAAGACAGAATGTTGTGATCATGGACCCATTCTACAAAAAGACAGAATGTTGTGATCAATGGCAGCCCATTCTACGAAAGACAAATGTTGTGATCGTGGCAGCCCAGTCTACGGAAAACAGAATGCTTGTGAAGTGGCAGCCCACTCTACGTTAGTAGACAGAATGTTGTGATCGTGGCAGCCCACTCTACGGAAAGACAGAATGTTGTGATCGTGGCAGCCCACTCTACGGAAAGACAGAATGTTGTGATCGTGGCAGCCCAGTCTACGGAAAGACAGAATGTTGTGATCGTGGCAGCCCACTCTACGGAAAGACAGAATGTTGTGATCGTGGCAGCCCAGTCTACGGAAAGACAGAATGTTGTGATCGTGGCAGCCCAGTCTACGGAAAGACAGAATGTTGTGATCGTGGCAGCCCAGTCTACGGAAAGACAGAATGTTGTGATCGTGGCAGCCCACTCTAAAGCGGAAAGACAGAATTTGTGATCGTGGGTCCCACTATACGGAAAGACAGAACTGTTGTGATCGTGGCTGGGACCACTCTACGGAAAGACAGAATGTTGTGATCGTGGCAGCCCAGTCTACGGAAAGACAGAATGTTGTGATCGTGGCAGCCCAGTCTACGGAAAGACAGAATGTTGTGATCGTGGCAGCCCACTCTACGGAAAGACAGAATGTTGTGATCGTGGCAGCCCAGTCTACGGAAAGACAGAATGTTGTGATCGTGGCAGCCCACTCTACGGAAAGACAGAATGTTGTGATTGTGGCAGCCCACTCTACGGAAAGACCGAATGTTGTCAGGGGAGGACTGCAACTGTCCAGAGAGCAAACTCGATAAAAGCAGTTCCCAGAAGAGGAATATGTCAACCATTTTTTGGTGGGAAAGGATCGATACGTATGGTTAGCTCAATGGGCAGGTCAAAAGAATGCCAGGTAAAGTCCTGGGTAGTAAAGGCGATCAGCGTGATTTTGACATCATCATCTATACATGAGTCTAGACTCATATGTTCAATGCGCCCTTGGTGTATTAGGAAAAACATAAATGTCACTTTTTAATTAAATTGTCAAACAATACTATAACTTATGTATTACACACTAATTATCAAAAATGTTTTAAATATTTATAACAATTAGCATACAACTAGTGAATATGATAACATAGAAAACACGCCTCAAAATTTTCAGGGGTTTAAATTAATTACAATCCGAAACACGTGGATGTCTTCGTCATTGTCAACAATGTACAGATGTCCACTTTTGTCTGCGGCTACTGTTCCAGAAAGACACACCAGGCTGTGCTTGAAACTGACCAGCGTCTTCTCCAACTGACCATCACAGGTCAGGCACAGCAAATCACCGTCGTCAACAACGATGATGCGATCTGATGGGTCACAGGTCACACCTTTCAGACTTCGTAAACATTTGACTCCTTCCGGTGGATATGTAAATTTTTGTTCGCCTACACACGTAAACAAACAAACAATGAATTAATGTATGCACACTTTGAAACTTCTTGGAAGTTGTAAGGTTAGGCAGATTTGAGAAAACGAATTTTATGTTAATTTTGGCAATTCTAGATAATTACTAAAACAACAATGTAAACTTTTTCTTTTTAAATGTTTATATTTCACCGTGCTTCTTTTCAAACGCATTCTTCTCGATTTCGTTTCGTAATATAACCCTGCAGTTCCGTATTTGTTTTTCTGTATTTATCATATCCTGTGTGATGTAAATTTATGTTGCCCTTTGTTCTTTGTCAACTTTGTTGTGTTGTCTGTTTCATTTTCCAAGTCATAGTTTGTGGGTTTTTTTAGTACTCCCTTAGTAAAGAATTTGGTCGAGACGTTCGGTTGTAATTCTGTCTTTTCCAGTCTATAAGCTGAGTATCTCCTTTAATTGTTGTGTTGTATTATTGCATGTAGTATTTAAACGTCTGCAATTTGAGAAAACAAACCTGGCAAAGAGGAAGTCGTTCTGATTTGGCCATACTAAAAAAAAAAAAAGAAAAAAGTGAAACAAGCCGTGACAACTGGACACATTCAGGACACGGAGGATGGTGGGAGAATAACTGAGGAGGTTATGGAGTTGTTCTTGTCATGGCGTTAGAAATATGTCAGGTCATGTACTGATACATGACTTTGTAAACTGGCAGATTTGAAGAAACATTGTCGCTGACCTCGGTCATCAAGATGGTGATGATTTGTTTATAATTCGCATAACAAGACAAGGCTGCCATGTGTCAAATACACCTGTTTCTCTAACACCCCCCTCCTCCCCCCCACCCCACCCCCAAATATGCAGATGTGCTGTTTTTAAAAAACACACAATATAACTGAGTTTCAATTTAGGAAATCATCAATTCACAGGCAAAGTTTGGTGCAGTACAGATCTCTAAATGATGATTGCAAAAACAAAAGCCATTTAAGCAGCTACCAAACTGGCAACCACTTATGCGGCGAAATACAGCGCAATCTTGGACTCGCCTGTGGATCTGAAGGTCGTGGGTTCGCTCCAAGGCGGAGCCGGACTTTTTTCAAAAATGACCTCAATTCCCAGGTCAACCCAGCAATGAGTGATTACCGGGTGCAGTCCCGGGAAGTAAAGGCGGCCGGCTCAATGCTGACCACATCACCCATTTTGTACCGAATGGTCTATATAATATAGGTCTGGCCCTATATGTCCTATACGTCTAAATGTGTGGAAACGGGTTTTTTACTTAACTTTACTTACTACAGCGCAATCAATCTACTAAACCACAATCAAGGGTAAACCCTGGCCTGTCGTGCAAGGAAATTCTACATATCAATTCTTTAAACGCCCCTGTAATTTAAGATCAATTACAGCATTCATTTACCGTCCACACTGAGGTATTTGACAGTTTTGTTTCCAACATCAGAAACAACCAACATCTTGTCCGGTGTCACACACAGATAGGCCGGATCACTGAACAATGGGAGACCACTGCTGTCTTTGGTGAATGATTTCAGCACCTGCAGAGATTGTTGTAGACAGTCTCTCAAGTTAACTCATTAAACCACAATGTGATTGCAAACAACCCTAATTCTCAACCTGTTAACAGTTTTGATATTTATGTTACACAAAAACAATATCAGTTTCGCATGGGTGGTTTTGACAGTTTAGCCATTGTTTTGTTTATTTCCATAATAAACTGATTGTTGTCAGCACACTGATAGCTTTCTCACTCAGATTGACAATTTTTGTCCAAATTATACTTGTATCTAATGTTTTGTTTTCATTTGCATTTAAATAACCGTAAACTCTTCACTATTCCTGAATAAATCAGAGTTATTCACTTTCCTTTTTCCACCGTTGGCTTCATGAAACAAGGAAATAGTCACGCGGCCACCTGGCAGCTAACCAAACACAAATACCTGGCAGCTAACCAAACACAAATACCTGGCAGCTAACCAAACACAAATACCTGGCAGCTAACCAAACACAAATACCTGGCAGCTAACCAAACACAAATACCTGGCAGCTAACCAAACACAAATACCTGGCAGCTAACCAAACACAAATACCTGGCAGCTAACCAAACACAAATACCTGGCAGCTAACCAAACACAAATACCTGGCAGCTAACCAAACACAAATACCTGGCAGCTAACCAAACACAAATACCTGGCAGCTAACCAAACACAAATACCTGGCAGCTAACCAAACACAAATACCTGGCAGCTAACCAAACACAAATACCTGGCAGCTAACCAAACACAAATACCTGGCAGCTAACCAAACACAAATACCTGGCAGCTAACCAAACACAAATACCTGGCAGCTAACCAAACACAAAATACCTGGCAGCTAACCAAACACAAATACCTGGCAGCTAACCAAACACAAATACCTGGCAGCTAACCAAACACAAATACCTGGCAGCTAACCAAACACAAATACCTGGCAGCTAACCAAACACAAATACCTGCAGCTAACCAAACACAATACTTGGCAGCTAACCAAACACAAATACCTGGCAGCTAACCAAACCTGGCACAAATACCTGGCAGCTAACCAAACACAAATACCTGGCAGCTAACCAAACACAAATACCTGGCAGCTAACCAAACACAAATACCTGGCAGCTAACCAAACACAAATACCTGGCAGCAAACACAAATACCTGGCAGCTAACCAAACACAAATACCTGGCAGCTAACCAAACACAAATGGCAGCTAACCAAACACAAATACCTGGCAGCTAACCAAACACAAATACCTGGCAGCTAACCAAACACAAATACCTGGCAGCTAACACAAATACCTGGCAGCTAACCAAACACAAATACCTGGCAGCTAACCAAACACAAATACCTGGCAGCTAACCAAACACAAATACCTGGCAGCTAACCAAACACAAAGACATGTGAATAGAAGTGTATTATTATTTTTATTATTACTATTATTATTATTACAATGCTAATGCAGCTTTCTGTTGCTTGTCTGACCATTCGATTTTTCTGTTTGATCTTTGTTGCTTACGTGGCAGCGAAAGTCTTTTCCCCAAAATAAAAAGACGAAAAAAATGATTAAGGGGCAGTTCTAGCAGGGAATCTCGAAAAAATGTGAGTTTTGAATATAGAAACAAACTTGGTATCAAATTAAACATTAACCAATATCCTACATGTTTCTGTATAAATTGTTTTAATCGGTTGAGTAGTTTCGGAGATATGATGGTTCAAAGATAGTCAGGTGTTTCTGGTCTTGGTAGGGTGGAAAAATCCAGAATTCATATTTTCACAAATCCACATATCTTTAGCAAAAATGCGAGCCTCCCTAACAGTTTTTTTTACAATTAACGATTCTTCGAATGGAACAATCAAAATTGCTGCCTTTGTAGAAGCCTGTTGATATTTTGTTTGTTCTGAAATCGTTTGTATAAGTGATATTCTAAGCAATGTCAAGTGATAAAAAGTATTGTAAACATTCAAGGAAGCGAAAGTTTCACGGGAATAGGTTTATGAGTGCTACAAAGAGATGCGGAGAATTAGATTTTAATCATTCTATTGAGGAAGACAAACATGTAAACACTGACACTCCTACAAGTTACTTTTTGACATGTAGCAGTAAAACTAAAAATAATTGTGGAACCAGTACCAAAGTTGACATTCCCAGTGCCACGCCCACTCACAGTCGGTCATCGATAAAAATCAACGACCTGTATGACATTGATGATGATCCAGACACACATTTAGACGAATTTCATGAGGTCATCGTTATTTGTGCATGATCTACAGATCTCAGAAGAAGGATTTTCTATGTCCACCAAAGTTCATAAGGAGCCTGGTTTGCAGGAAAATAAACCAAGTCAAAGTTTCGAAAATAACCTCTTTAACTCTGACCAATTATTTCTGAATTTTTTTCCCCATTGATTAAAAAAACAATACATTTTTTATGTCTTTACAAAAAGTGATGTCAAGAACTATTTCACAGTGTTTCTTTTTCATGACTTCGAAATTGCATGATCTTACTCTCGAAGAACCACGTCACTTCTTCACGGAGGAGGATCCTCATGTTCAGGAAAATGACTTGAAAGTCTACACTCCAGTCGAGATGTTGGTGACTTGAGTCTACACTAACCCACGTTTTTTTGTTTAATTTACTTGAGTCTACACTTTACTTTCTTCATGATGTTGATGACTCCTCTCGAGTCTACACTCCCACGTCGAGATGTTGGTGACTTGAGTCTACACTCCCACGTCCTGTCATAGACATCCTGGAGTTCGGTTAGATTTTCTCAACTATTTTTAATTAACGTCCTTACACCACCTCCCTCGAGTGTAAGCCCAGCACTTTGAATATCCACCAAGAGAATTAAATATCTCTGAACTAGTGGTCCATCCGTTTAATTAAGGGCAACAAAGAAGTTCTTTCCTTACGACTACACATTCACTATACTAAACACAGCAAGGAAGGGTAGCATGGTTTCTCAACTAAAGTTATTATTTACCTTCGATCGAAAAACATTTCATTTCTCTCTATCTTCCACAGCTTCACATTCAACATTAGTGGCGATAATTCTCCTTTAAATGTGGTGATGAAAACACTATAGCCTCTATTGATTTTGTGTGGTTTGAGGCCCTACAATGGCTAGAAGGAAATCTGAAATACAAGCCTTTACTAACTCCTGCCCAGTTGTATACAGATTTTCTAAACAAACCGCACACATAGCCAGAGGTGAGCGTTCATTGCCAGCAGCTACAGTGAAAACGTGCGAATAGGCGATGCTGAAACAATGCTGACATTCCACGAAACAAAAACTCTCTTAGCTGCAGTGTTGCTACAGGCGGTATAGTCTTTAGTCCCAGCAAAGACTGGCCCGATGTGTCATGCCTTTTTATGCAGGAAGTCATCGTATTCATGTGACACAATCTCCTTCATCACAGATCCAATATTGTCATGTGGCCAAGTTAAAATGTTAGTCACCTCTATCTTTGAAGTGGTCATTTACTAACAAGTTTGCCAGTTATAGCCAAATATGTTGTATCTGTTGATGTTTCCCTAAAAAGCCTGTCGAAACAACCACGACTATGTCTAATTTACACCTCTCGACCACTATCTCCACATTTTAGTTTATGATTAAGAATCTACAGTGTTAATTACTTTTATAAAGTACTTTACAGTGTAAAATCATGTTCAAAAAATACTCAGCAAAAAATATCGTCAGGAATCTGTATACCCAGATCATTTTGAAACTATATTCTGTATGTTAATGCACGCGCTCAAGTACATACACACACACGAAAGACGAACCTGGCCACTGGTGGTCAGAAAGTCCACAGACGCCCCGGCTCCGCCAGAGTTCTGAGAACTACCAGCTACGATGATGACACTGTCCAGTGACATGAAAGAAGCCAACCCCTGATACGACTTGGACACTTTGATGTACTTGTCTATGTCCAGAACTGGTGTCATCTACAGACAGCGGAGAACAAAGAAAAAAAAAAACAATAATTAATTTTTTTTGACACATTTCTCTGCATTTATTTAAAAATCAGTATCTTTATCTTCCCCTGCTTTAGTTAGTTATACATTTTACAATTTACAAACTTAGAGGCTAATCAAGACGCTTTACATCCGCCACTAAAAACACAGGCCCACATGTAAGTCATCATTATACAGGTCTAAGGCTAAGCCAGTAAATATTGTTTGCGGTCAAACAAGATTGCAAACTATGAGAACCCTACCCACCCCCACATGGTGATAGCTGGTAAGCCTTATTAAAGGAAGTTGATGGATGTGGCTTTGTCATGTCTGTAGAATGCCTCAAGACACCTTGGCAAGGACATCTCTACGATAGACGTCAGACGAAAAATGAGACATTAACGACCTAAAGAAACTGGAGAACGATAGCACAGGGGATCCCGTAGTCAGAATAGCAGCAGACCGGTAGCCATAGAGATGTGCGCGCAACAGTCAAGTCTGGAATAAGGTAAAAGTCCAAACCCAGACGAAGAAGCAGAACTTTCAGCCAGAGTTAAGCGCAGAGGACTCAGAAGAAGTAGATAAGCCAAACGTGATTGCAAGGGAAGCATCAACACGGGTATTAGTGAAAGTTCCGTATTCTCATCGCCCAGCTAACAAACTCCCAAGCACCAGTGAGGGTCTCAGTGTGTTTACATGCTATTAATATTCATGTCATTCATAGATATTCAATATAGGGAAGTAATACTGTGTAGTATCCATCCTAGCCAGGCGTATATTGGCTCTTTGGAAGCGAAATTGACTTACTTTAATCAAACAGATCTGCTGGGACGAAGGGAGACTAACAGCTGCCGACATGTCAGAAACTTGAGTAATCGCCCATGGGGAAGAATCTAAAGCCAGACCCGTGCTCCTGTGGCCTCTCCTGCTAGGGAATGCTTTCACACACTTATTGGTCCAGTCTGTGGCCAGAACTGTGTCCGTTGGCACCAACACAATAAGGCAATTCAAGCAAGGCTTCTGACTATCGTGCCGTAATCGAGTTTTA